TGTGGTTTGTTACGCTGTTAGAGTTCACCGGTTAGGTTTTAGTTGTATGGGTCGACTCACTCCCACGATGGCAGGTGGGGTCTTTGGTTTTGGTGGTGCTTGTTTTGAGAGTGATTTCGACCGGTGGTATGTGAGGCACGAGTTGCCGAATAAGGATAGTGTGTTTTCGGTATCTAGTACTAGCGGTGATGGCTAGGGAATGTGCCGTGAACGGTAAGTTCGAGGATGATTAGGTGAGGTAATATGAGTCATGTACTCGGATATTTTTATAGATGTCTGATTTGAGCAGTGTCTTGAAGATAAGTGTCAATGTCGCCTTAGAACTACATGATTAGAAAAAGTGAATGTTAGATTCCGTTAAGGAATAATGGGAAAGATTGACTTTGGTTTTGTGATCTCAGGCATGAAATAGCTGCATTGTGTGTTTTGACGTGGTAAGAATTGAATAGAGTAATGTTATGGAGTTGTTTACCTGGTATGGGTGTTATGAGGAGATTAGAGATCTTTTATGTTGGTTGATGATTATGACGTTTGGTGCCGTGTTGTTTTTTAGATTGTAATGAGTTGTATGATTGAGGCATGATTGGGATTATTAGAGCTGGTACGTGACTATATAGTTGTTGAGGTTACGTAGAGCGATGGATTGATAGTGAGTGGATCTTATGGTTATTTTGTGGACTGTTTGAGACTATGTTTGAGGTTTGGACCTGAGGATAGGAACGATGTCTGTGTTGAGACTGGATCGATGACGAGAATGGCCTGGCCAACCATTTCTTCTGAATCAGTCCCTCTTTAGCACGATGTCGGGTCAAAGGTCAATGATTGTTTTATATGATTGTTTCATTTTGTTAAGGACAGTGAGAGCATGGTACTGTGTGTCGTGTCGGTGTGACAGTATGGATTCAGATGATTTGTCTAGAGTGACGAAGAGTGTTAGGTAGGACTAAGTGTCCGATTAAGGTTTGTGGTACGACCATTAATCATTAAAGATCTTGTTTTGAGGATTTGTGTTCGACGTACTGGATGGTATGCTTTATTGATTTGGTGATTCATGATTAAGTAATCTTTGGGAGATTCATTATTTAGTCATCTTGAGGTTGTAAAGTATAATGCTTGCCGAATGGTGTGGTTGGTAATTGCTCGTACCGATATGTGACGGTGTAGCTATGTGTTAGATAGCGAGTTAGTGGTCTGATAGAGGTATGTGGATTTGAGTTTGAGCTTGATTGTGAGATGGACGGGGTTCCTAGTCTGGGGTTTTGTGTGTCCTTTAAAGGATGAGTGGAGTTTGGATGTTGTCATGTTCGGTGGTCTGATGATCGTTCTTCTTTTGGGCTTTGGAGCCTTTCGCGGTAGTTTAGAGTGGACTGATGTCCATTTAAAGTCAGGTATAACGTAAGGCGTACCAACCGATCTTGTGTTATGATGTTGTGAGTGATGAGTACCCTCATAGGGTGGTGAGCATTCGGTTTTAGTGTGGCAGTATATGATTGCTTATTGGCGTCTAGTGTCAAAGGCAATAAGGTTGTTGAACTCTTAGTCCTGCGGTTTAGTGAGATGTTTCTCGGGAAGGTGTATGGCTGTGGGTCTCCTTCTTTAAGAAGGGTAGATTTCGAGGACGAAATCTTATTAAGGAGGGTAGATTGTAATATTTCCAATTTTTTCCATTTTTTGAGAATTTTTCGTCTTTGTCTCGTTTTACGTGTCGAACATCGTGGAGTGTGCCGGATGTGACTGAGTGTTGGTTGGAGCATTTCCTTGAGCTTAGGACTCTTGAAAATGTATTGGTTGCCTTTTCAACATTTTTTCGTTTTTCGGGCCGAAGGTCCTAGGTGGACCCGCTATGGGGGTCGTTGTGCACGGGGGTTGTGTTTCGACTCCATTATATTTTATGCATTATTATTTAGTGTATATTTATTTGGGTACGTGATTTAATGTGTAATTATATAATGTATGTATATATATATATATATATATATATATATATATATATATATATATATGCACACAAAGGTGACAAAATTAGATATTTTTGGATTAGACGGGACCCACTTTTGGTAATGGGTTTTCAAATGACCACATGGTCATTTTTTTTGGCTGATCATTCTTTTTCTTTCCCTCACAACCGTAGCATTCTCTCTCTCTTGCTGCCTTTTTCTCTTTTTATTTTTATTTTTTATTTTTTTAAGCTTCAATAATTCTCTTTAATTTTTCGCCCAATCGGTCGGGTCTCCGGTCTTGGTTCCTTGATGAAAAATGTTCCTCTCGTCATTCGCTATCATATAGTCAAATGATTTAATTTTCATAGGAGCAGTGATTATTTTATGAATTTTTGAAATTTTTGGATTTAAGGCCTCGGAGGGGGTTTTGGGCCATTTGGAGTCGAATTTCGGAGGCACCCCTTTGGAACAGTAGAATCTCCTCGTCGTCGGCTACATTCCCACTAAACAGTTTTTCGTTCCGCCGTCGTTGACCGGCGTTAACTTCCATTAATCGGTATTGACTGCGTTGACCAGCATTGATTTTTCCGACCGGGGATGCATTTTGTCTACTTTTGAGGTAGGGATGTCTAAACCATTAAGTTTTGACTTTACTTGAGTTCGTGTACTTAAATTCTTGATAAACATGCTTAAAATGATAAATTTTGGAATAATTGAATGTCGATTATGTGCTTACGTGCTTATGCGACAAACACATGCTCTAGATGATATTAATTGTGTATGTGTATATGTGATTAGTTGCAAAGTTGTTTAATGAACATGCATTGCGTTAAATTTGTTTCTTGAGATTACATATATATGATGATGAATATGCATGGCTAAACTGATAAAGTGCAGGGCATGTTTATATCACTTTCATTCATACATGATTCCATTCATGCCATGGACATGGTTTAGGAAAAGTGAGGTTGAAATGATTTTTTTAGAGAAATATGTTTGGAAAGGATTGTGAGGAAATGATTTAGAAATGAATCAGATTTCGCAAGTCCAGGGCTAGCTTGACCTAGAAGGAGCGCGGCCTGGTGTACGGCGTGAAAAAGTTGATACTAGGCCTTTTAACGGTTGCCATGCTTTGCCAGAATTGGAACTAGGGATAGCTATTAATCTCGCCTCGGTAAAGTCAGTTAGCGGTTTTTTGAAAAGTGAGTGTTGGGTCGGTATAGACCAAGTTTGGGATGTGATGCATCACACTTCATATTATGTGCATGATTTGGAAGAATTGTGACATGTGTATTGATTGTTATGTTATAAATGTTGTACGGACCTCCATTGCATGACCCCGACTTCTTTTCAATTCTCATTCTTTGGTTGTTGGCTCAAGGGAGTTCAAAACCGGTGTTTTAGGCATTACCTACTAAGCTGTTGAGCTCACCCCTTATCTTAACATTTTTAGGAAACTGAAAGAGTATGGACGTACGACTTGTATCCATGAACTTAGACGCCGCTGCCATTCTACCTGCATTTGTGAGTTTTATGTGATGTTAGTGATATGATGTATTATGAGTCTTGGAATGACGTATATATTTTATGCATTGACATAGGAAAGAACAGTAATGCCTTAGATGACCTTGAGTTTGGATAAGGACCCGGTTAATGATTCAAACCCTTAGGTTTGGGTCGTTACATTATCCTTCCAACCCTTCTCAAAATCAAGCTTATCCGTATATATAGACCGTTTATCGATAGGGAAAAAGTAATATTACATGTCATTTATCCTGATTTTACTAACCGTGTAGCGGAGGAGGAGATCTATAATATCGAGATCCAAACCCCTATCACGATTTAGAATCAAAAGGACTGATAAGACCCTAAGGAAGTTGGGATTTACTTAGAGGGGGGTAAGTCTTAGTTTATTGAAGACATAACAAAAGAAGGGATGCAAGGAAACCTAAGTATATTTAAATGTAGAGGGGAAAAAAGAAACTACCCTGGAAGAAGACCCTCGCTAGTTCTCACATTCACCCCTCGGGATATTGTCTAATAATGACATATGCGAGAATTTCATACCTTGCAAGAAGGATTTCTAAGTTAAGAGCCATTATAGTAACAAAAGAGATTCTTAGATTTATAAAGAAGAAAGAGAAGAAAGTTATGTGGAAGGAAACCAAAAAATAGGACTAATCTTGAGGAATGGATTAGATGAATACGCCTCAGAAAGCTGGAAAATGAGAAACCCCCAAGGAGAAGCTCATCGGAGAAAACTCTGCTGGCGGAGAAACACAAATGAGAAAATATGGAAAGGGAAAGACATAAGGAAAATACAAAAAAGTGCAGACCTAGGATTTTAATAGAGGCAGTTTCATTAACCGAGGCGTCAAGTTATGATGGGATTTCAAGTTTCAAAATATGTGTCTCTGAATCAACCGTTCGCTTTCCCATGCCATCATTATGAGCCGTCATATCATCATTAAGTCTCTTCGGTAATCTCACCCTAATCAATTAGGGATAAATTAGGGGGCAACTGAGGATACCAAAATAAGTTGGGTCGGGTTTGACCCAGCCCATCAGCCATTAGATCCAGAAGGAGCTCTCAACCCGTTCGAAAGACGACCCAATGGGCCCAATCTATAGAAAGAGAGAAATGAATCCACATGAAAGAAGAGGCCCAAAGGATCAACCAAAGAGGGAGAATAAGAAATACAAATCTTTTAGAATTCCACGAGGGCTCTATAAATAGAGAGAAAAAAGAGGGAAAAGTGGTTGGGATATTTTTGAAGTGTAAGAAATTGCTTTCTGTACTAAGAGAACGATTTTCTGTAACTTCACATGATAACATTTTTTTAGTTCAGGGGGTTATTTAATTTTAGTAGGAGTTTTTTTGCACCAATTTGATAGTAGAGAGGGGTTTTGTGATTTTAACTCTTTATTTTATTCCGGTTATATAATATGGGTCAAATATGAATCATGTTTGTAGGATCTGATTGGAGTTTGGATCCGAATAGGAATTCTGATCCGAATACCCCTTGAGGGTTGGGCAAAAGAGGAACAAAAAGAAAAAAAGAAAAAGAAAAAAAGCCAAGCCCTTCCAATGTCCGTACTATATGCGTTTGATTGTATTTACTTCATTTGCACAGTTTAGGAGAGTGAGAGTGAGAGTGAGCCCTAGAAATTTCGATCCTTTGTGTTAACAGTGACCGGTATAAAACACTAGAAGGCACACATTGTATTACAGAGAAAAATCGCACAGGCTACAATTTGATGTAAGTATCTCATTATCTCTCATACTCTGTCCCTTTCATCACTATCTATTTCTCCGTGTTCGATAATTTTTCGAATTTCTGGTGTTTTAGCAGCTGATTTTGATTCTTTTATCTGTAACAGTTTTCTGTCTCTAATTTGACATAAACATATTACTCATTTTTTATTGTTTATTTTATTTATAAGTAACATTTTACTCATATATATATATAATGAGTTTTCTTTCAAAGAAATATGTTGCTTAAATTTCTTTCATGCAAATGTTTTGCTTAAAGTTTAGGTTTTAGGGGTTTTGTGATGGGATTTAGAAATGCTAGAGCAGTCCCAAGTTCCTAAAGGTGTTGATGGATATGATTTGTTTTTCGGAAATAAAATCAAGTAACAGGGGAAGCTTCTGGTGGGTTCAAGGAATCAAATAAAAAGCGTACATAAATGTTTAAATTGTTATGTGCATGAAAACTTTTCCAGGTTACAGACTGATTTTGATATATTTCATGCTTGTTTCTTAAATTGATGGTTCTTTTTTTTTTTTTTTTTTTTTTTTTTTTTTTTTTTTTTTTCATGTTTAGGGTTTAGGGACTTCTATGTAAGCTTTGCTTGATAGCATATTAGAAGTTTCCTTTCTTATTCTCCTGCTATTGTTATCTTTTTATTTATTTTCTTATGTTTAAGTGGAAATTGCTATTATTTTGCTCAGTGCAAGGAAACTGTTCTCCAAATTCTTGGCTCTATGTGTTTGATATTTTGGGTTTATCATATGATACTTTCAAAATGTCAACCGAGTCCGAGTTCTATGATTTGGATTTGAGGATTATATTATGCTATTGTTGCAAAAATGATTTAATAATGCAATTGGGATGTATTATTCTTGAAGCTTGTTTATTAATTTATTTTTCTCAGATTGCGAGTCTAATGGGGGCATCAGCAAAAGACCCGGGGACAAGTGATAAGGATGAGAAGTTACACATAAGTGCAGTGGATATTGACATAGATGATATGTTTGAAGACATAGAGACAAGTATATTTGAAGACATAGGGACAAGTAGTAAGGGTGAGAATTTACAGAATATGTTTGAAGACATAGGGACAAGTAGTAAGGGCAAGAACTTACAGAATGGGACAGCTGATATGGACTTGGATGATGAGGATCTAGTTGACTCAGCAGCAATACATGATTTAGGTGAAGAGTTTTTGAGGAATTTCTGTAAAAAGGCTTCAAGTTCATTTTTTGAACAGTATGGTTTGATAAGTCACCAAATAAACTCTTACAATGATTTTATTGCCAATGGAATCCAAAAGGTGTTTGATTCCATTGGCGAGGTTATAGTGCAGCCCGGATATGACCCGTCAAAGAAAGGGGAGGGTGAATGGAGGCATGCTTCAGTGAGATTTGGTAAGGTCACTCTTGAGCGCCCAAGATTTTGGACAGGTGATAAGTTTTCTGCTGATAGCGGTAAAGATTATCTGAATTTGTTGCCAAGACATGCTCGGCTTCAGAATATGACGTACTCCTCCCGGATGAAAGTGCAGATCCTTGTTCAGGTGGATAGATGTGATTGAATCGCACTGATAATTTGAATTTCTGCTTGAGATGGTCTTTTCATGTTCATAACATCCGAATTAATATACTTTTCCCTTTTTACATTCTTATTGTTGATGGAAGTGTCCTGTTTATTGTAGCAAATGTGTTGAATCTCTAATTGTTGTGGTGTGTCAAGTTACTTGATGTTATTATGGCATCTCTTTTATCTATGTATTTTAATTCTTATAAAATAGAAAACACTAAATTTGTGTTTCAGAAATTATATGACATTACTCAGATAGGCAAGCGACATGCTAGTGTTAGGAATTGCATTGTTGCCTGAGAGACTTGCTGTAAAAAGCAACTTAATTGCCTTGGAACTTGAAATCGAGAAAATGATTTCCTATGATTTCTGTACTTCAAGATTTCTTGCACTCAACAACAAGGCCACTCTTTGAATCCATCAAATACTGTGCTCTTAATTGTTTAAATAAATTGTGCTTTCTTGGCATGCTTCACTTAGTTACAGCACTATTAAGGAAGTTACAGTACTTGGAACTTTGAAGAAAGACTGTAACCATTTGATGGATTTCTTTTATGAAATATAATGTGTTTCTTTTATCATTTAGTTCCTCTACCCACTCATAAGCAGAATTGCTAACCTGAAAATCCTTTTATTTTTTTGGGTCAATGGTAATAATTGAAACCAAAAACTCTCCCAATGCACATTATTCTTTATCATTGTGCTTTGATACTACCCTTTTGTGCAGTACAACTAATCTGAATTTATTTTTCGGGTCTTGTAATGTTTGATCTCTGATATATTGTTTCATTCCTGTGCTCTTTCAGGTGTATACACAAAAAGTTGTTAGAAGTGACAAGTTCAAAACTGGCAAAGAACAATATATTGATAAGGAGGTTATAAATGAAGATAACAGGGATGTCATTATTGGGAGGATCCCTGTGATGGTCAGGTCTGATTTGTGTTGGATGAATGGAGTTGAGAAGGGTGATTGTGATTTTGACCATGGAGGTTATTTCTTAATCAAGGGTGCTGAAAAGGTTATACATTTATATGTTTTATGTTCAATAAATTGTTTATTTTTACTGTTACACGTTCTGACTTTGTCGCGTAAGAAAATAGCCAGCAACGACGACCTATTGACGTAGATCCTCGTCTGCATGCCCTTCAAGTCTGATCAGATTCAAATCCGAGTCTAAGTACTGGTTCCTTTCATATTCGCCTCCCCTTAATCTCTCCTCCACACTTTATGACACCCAAACTGCAGACCTACTTAATAACAACATCTTCTTTTATTTTTATTTTTATTTTTGTTTTTATCAATGATTATCCCTAGTTAATTTCTATTTCTTATCTTTTACATATAATAAAGAATCAATTTCTCCAGTCTTTTCTCCTGCCCTTTAGTTTCTTGTAGGCATCATATATATATTCCTGAATTAGGCATCATATTTTAACCCTCCTTATCATCACAGTGTCTACCAACTTCATTTCTTTACTCATTAGAGTTCTTGTATTCTCAAGTCCGTAAGCCTACTATCCTAGGCTAATTTTTTACTTGTGCTCCTCCTAAAGAAAGTGGAACTTTTGCATACTTGATACCACATCCGGGTGCCAAAGTGGCACCCCTTGACCATTTTTCGTAGTATCTGGAAGTTGATGCAATGCATCATTTAATGGCAATGCCCTAGCACCTACTCGTATATTCTTAAGATTCATGTTCATATTACTTGTCACAAAAGTTCATGTTTGCTGTAGCTACCGAATGCAATCTTCCTTTTCCGGGCTTGTGTCGGCTGTATAAAGATAATAGACTAAGCATGACACACACATAGTTATTATGCATTTCTTTATAAAAACAAACAAATAAATAATAATCCATCTTGAGTTCACTAATCAGAAAGGTGGTCTTCCTTGGAGTAAGTGATTAAACTAAGAAAACGTGCAAAAGGTGGCAGAATCTGCTTCACTAATTGTCACTTGTCTGGATTCAAAAAGGTAATTGATATGATCTATTATGGCCTAGATTGAATATTTTACTAATGTTGTGTCATACCATGCATTTATTACCATGTCATCTTTCCATAGATAAGCCTTTGTAACTGATGGTCCTTTTATTTAATTAGACTTTTATGTCATCTGTCTTCCATCCAATTGTTTGGAAAACATGTATCGATCAAATTCGCTTTTCTGATTTTTTCCTCTTGCTCTTTGTCGTCATTGTAATGTCGGAAGTGACTGGGTATTATTTATTTATTTATTATATTTGATGGTAGTTATGTTAAAGATGCATCCAGATAATTTTGTTTAGCTTATTTGTTTACAACATCTATGGCAGACCTTCATTGCGCAGGAGCAAATCTGCTTGAAAAGACTCTGGGTGTCTAATAATCCAACCTGGTTGGTGGCCTACCGTCCAATTGCAAAACGGCAAAGAGTTTTTATAAAATTAGTAGATTCTTCCAAAGTCGAACATATTAGAGGAGGAGAAAAAGTCCTTAAAGTGTATATCGCAGTAACAGAGGTTCCAATCTGGATATTATTTTTCGCTCTTGGGGTAAATTCCGACAAAGAAGTTGTGAATTTGATTGATTCTGATGTTGAAGATGCTAGTATTATCAATATACTAGTTGCATCGATTCATGATGCTGACCAGGAGTGTCAAGATTTCCGGAAAGCAGGGAATGCTCTGAGTTATATTGCTAAACGGATAAAAGATTGCCAATTTCCACCTGAAGGAACTGTTGAAGAGTTTGTGAGCAATTATTTGTTCCCCAATCTTATTGGCTCCGGGAGAAAGGCTCGTTTTCTAGGTTATATGGTCAAATGCCTCTTGCAAGCCTATACTGGCCGCAGGAAAGTCGATAATAGAGATGATTTTAGAAACAAGAGGTTGGAACTAGCTGGGGAGCTCCTTGAGCGGGAGCTGCGAGTGCACCTTAAACATGCTGAGAAGCGCATGGTGAAGGCTATGCAGAGAGATCTTTATGGAGATCGTAGTCTTCATCCAATTGAACACTATCTTGATGCATCAATCATCACCAATGGTCTTTCTAGGGCATTTTCTATCGGAGCATGGGCACATCCTTACAAGAGGGCTGAAAGGATCAATGGCGTAGTGGCAATGCTGAGACGAACAAATCCTTTGCAGACAATGGCTGATATGAGGAAAACACGTCAGCAGGTTACATACACTGGGAAGGCTGGAGATGCCAGATACCCGTGAGTAGTTTTACACTCAAATCTTAGTATTTTTAAGTTCTAATCCTATGGTTTCATTCTTGTACCTGTGATTTTATGCTATTATATTGTTTGGCAAGGCAGTAATGTTACTGCACTGTTACGCCTGGATTATGACTGTGCCGTCTAATTCTTACTCCCTCCGTTCCAAAATAAATGTCCCTTTTTGGTAATCTAACTTTTTAAGAGGATGAGTTTTATTATTATTTTTTATTGTATTGGTGGGGAATGAATTACCAAGTCTATCAATAGTGGGTCACAGGGATGTGAGGTCTACTTTTTATAAGTTCAATGCAAGAAGGTTAAATTGGCAATGTTACAAAAAATAGCACTGTGACTTTTCAAATGGGACATTTATTTTGGGACGGAGGGAGCATGTCTCTGCAGTTTATAGCTTGTTGCTAGGAAATTGTTTTTGCAGCAACAGTTATTATTATTGTTATTATTATTATTATTAAGGAGGAGACTTCCCTTCTCATTTTCTCTCTTGCTTGCAATAATAGAAAATGCGTGTTTGAAGGGGCATCAGTTTGTGCAAATAATGCCATAGGTTAGGTTTGTACTTAGTGTTGCCCCTCTTATCACCTGCTCTGTAGTTTACCCCACCACTTTGTAATTGCCTTTAACTTCCAATACATGAATTGAACAACAACATAATTGAATTTCAGTGGGTGAGCAATAAACAGTTTAAGCTTCTTAGGAGAATTTCATACTTCCATCAACAATGTAGTGAAGTTTTAAAATTTTTGTTTCTTTTTGATCACTTGACATACGGGTGAAATGGTGAATGTTAGGGTATATGGAAGAGGCATGAGGGAATTTGAGAGAGTACTTTAGCTTCAAGCATTTTTCAAAGGAAAAGTTCATAGTTTTTCTACTTCTTAGAACTTAGGTTGGTTGTTTTATATTCTTTTTATTAATTCTCCCTTCTCTACTTTTTCTTTTTACTGAATATAGTTTGTTTTGGAACTAATTACTTTGAATGTTGAATTGATATTTTGCTTACCAATTTAAATACAATAACATGAAGAAGCATGTGGGAGAATTTTGAAGTTAGATACTTCAGCTGAAGAAGATTGTTGTTTTTTTTGGGGGGGGGGGTGGGGTTTGGGGTAAGAGAATAAAGCAAGCAAGGCCAGCTATACAACCAGCGAATCCACAAAATTCTCTGTATCTCCCACAGATTTACAATTTCATCCCAGGACCCCAAAAAATAAAGTACAAAGAATAGAGAACTTAAGCACCCATGATGGAACCTCCACACCATAAAAGAACCGCTTGTTCCGTTCACACCACGACCCCCACCATAAATAAAGGGGAGCCATCCTCCAAGCATCTTGAGCTTGCCTCCTCACTACACACCCTTGCCAAGCCTCAAGCATGCTATTTGGGGACTCTGGCATAGCCCAATGAACACCAAAAGGGCAAAAACCATAGCCCAACTGTCTCTAGCAACTGGGCAATGCAAGAGAAGATGACTAACCGACTCTTTGTTTTCCTTGCACATGCATTTAGCCAATCATGCCTGGTAAATGTGTTTTTATGTACAATTTAGTGAATTAATGCTTTGCACTTTGAACAAAGAATTTGGCCAGGTGCGCATTAGTGAGTCTTGTCGCATTTTTATATGCCAAGTTTTTGGTACCTCCTGTACTATACTGATATCAGATTACTCTTGGCTGGTATATGGGTTATACATATATCTTTACGGACCTCAATAGAATTTTTATTTCTTCTATTCTATTAAACTAATTTAAAGAATGATTAAATTTGTTGTCTTAAAGGGTTAATGTGGTATTTTCTTGTATCCATAATGTTGAGGCTAGGTAATGTGTTTCTATAGACTTTCTTGAGTTGTTATAAGTCCGGGGTTTATATATATATGCATATTTCGGTTAAGGGTTCAAGTTATGTCATCTATTTATCCAATACACGTCTAAGTTAATCTTTGTAGAGATCCGGTCATTTGACTTTATTAGGTGTTTAAGATTTGGCAATGTGATCTTATGCGAATAGAATTTTCTGGATGCAGGCACCCTTCCCACTGGGGAAAAGTTTGCTACCTTTCTACCCCAGATGGTGAAAATTGTGGGCTTGTAAAAAATCTAGCCATCACTGGACTTGTTAGTACAAATGTTGTTGAGCCTTTTATTAACAAATTGATTGATTGCGGGATGGAGAAACTGGTAGATGATACTTCAGCTTTGCTTTGTGGAAAGAAAAAAGTTTTTCTGGATGGGGATTGGGTTGGAATATGTGAAGATGCTGTCTCTTTTGTTGCAGAAGTGAGAAGCAAGCGACGGATGAAGGAAGTGCCGCATCAGGTTCTCTTTGCACCATCCAGAATTTTTTTATTTCAAATATATATCTTGGGTTTGGTTTACTTCCATTTTGAGGTGGGCATATCGAACTATGTTGTGGAAAAATGATTGAGATATTAAATATATTAGTATTATAGAGTCTGATGGCTTGAAGAGATAGGTTTGTAGAACCTTACCAAAAATATTATCATTTTTGTAAATGTTATCATGATATAGTTCCCATGGATCACCTCCATGGTAAATATTTTGCCCTGTTGATTAAGCGATGAGACATTGATTGTTTAATTGTCTTATTGTAATTATTCGGGAACTGTAGTGTCATACAACTAGGAGTTGTGTTCTTTATGCTTTCTTCACCCTTATTTGTCAAAATCTTTTAATACTATTTACATGCCTGACCCATCCAATTTTTTTTTTTTTTTTAAAATTTTTTTTTTTTTAATTTTATTTTTCAAATATATATCTTGAGTTTGGTTTACTTCCATTTTGAGGCAGGCATATAGAACTATGTTGAGGAAGAATGATTGAGATATTGAACCTTTTTTTATTTTTTTATAAGTAATTGGGATATTAAATCTGTTAGTATTATATAGAGCCTGATGGCTTGAAGAGATAGATTTGTAGAACCTTACCATGAATATTATAATTTTTTGTTCTGTTACATGCTTGTGCTTTTAATCACGAGTTGCTTTATCCCCAAAGTATGTAGTTTACATTCCAAAACTAAACAAACCCGTTTAAGAACTATCAGTGCAAATGAGTCATCTCAATGGTGCATGTCTCACCATCATTCATGTTGCAACACCTGATTTTGTTCTTTATCTGAAGTTGTTTTACCTTGAAATATCCTAGAATAGAGTGCCCATGGACCACATCCATGGTAACTGTATTGCCTTGCTGATTAAGTGATGAGACATTGATTGTTTAGTTGCCCTATTGTAATTTTTTAGGGATTGTAGTGTCATACAAGTAGGAGTTCTCTTCTTTATGCTTTCTTCGCCGTTATTTGTCAAATCTTTCAATACTAATTAATAAGTATTTACCTGATCTACACTTTAATGTAATATTTTCAATTTTAGTTAAACTAGTTCATTCTAGCTTTATATATGATAGACTTAGGTACAAGAGTCGGGCTGGTGTCTTGAATTTACCCAATCCAATTTTCCAATGAGATGCAAAATTTTCCCATGTACCCTGGGGTAAATGATATGCTGTGTAACATAGATGTTGGTACTTTGACTTTTCCAAATTACTTGTGCAAGAAAGAAGCAGATGCAAGTATAGAGGGAAAATTAAAGTAAATATTGAGTATATGTATAGTTGTATATATGCTTGTTTGAATAGTAGTAGTTAGCAGTAGGCATTTTGGACTTGTATCCCATGCGCATAATCGTATTGTGTCTTTTATGAGTGGGCCACTCATTCTGAAGTCTTTATGTGACCTAGTTTTATATGTCATTTAATTATTTGGTTTACTAGAATCAATCGTAAGGTGACCAGTTTACTACTATATTATAATCTACTATGTAAGCATAAACGGATGCGCTCGATGGGAACTTTTCTCCATCTAGGTGCTTACTGTCGCTCGCCATCTACTTCTTTGACTTTAAGGCTCCCACTCCACAGGTCTACTCTTCATTTCGTTCGTCTTATTCCTGCTGCTAAAATTTGTAGTTTGAGAGGTCTGCCCTTAAATAGGAGGCATAATCACCCGGTGATCAAGCTAACTAATGCAATCGGCTTAGTTCATTTATATTTTGAACACAATTGATCACAAGTATCATAAAAATTGCCTAAAAATTGCCTTACCGGGAAATACCTAAACTAGACATGCTTTAATTTAAAGATATAGATCCTCAATTTTGTGAAATTTTCAAAACATTCATCGTTTAGGAATTATACATTTATTTATTTCATTGATCTTTCAAAATGGGACATTTATTTTGAAACATCACAAAATGGAAAGAACACCTTTTTTTTTTTTTTTTTGTTGTTTTGTTTTCCTGGGTAAAGAAAGAGGAACACTTATTGTGAGATGGAGGAATTCTTTTGTTTTTTAATGATTATTGAGATGAAATTTGGAGGGTTTTGTTGTTGGAGAAAAATATGAAGAAGAGTGACTTGGAGTTTCCTGTAGATCATTTATGTCATGGAGGGGGGAAAAAAGCGCGTGAGAATTCTCCATTTCTTTCTCTTTTCATCCTTTTATCCCTAGCCACGGTGCGTTGTTCTCTCCTACTTGCTTCGTTTGTCTAAGACTGTAACTGAGGTGGCGGATGGGTAGAGTCCATAGAATGATAAGTATATATGTTACACAATTCTATTTTGAGCGGTTCTTCAATTTTATTTTACTTATCAAAAAAAAATATGTTACACAATTCTAAACTTAAATAGAAGATCCTTATATTTTCATTTAATATTATCACTTTAACCTCTTTTTATTTATTTTTTCCCTAGTTGATATTTTATCCCTCCCCCCAATTTCCTGTTATTTCAACATAATCTCTCATAATTTTTCATCTATTTCATATTGACCTTGATATTGATTTTTCATTTCGATTAAGACACTTGAATATGAGATTTTTTCCTTAGCTTATCATCCGTATTAATTAACCTTCCCCTTTCTCCAAAATTTGTATATATATAAATATATTTATGTTTTATATGTGTGCACAGACACTTTCAAGACGCACTCTTAACATTTTAGTTATGTCAGCTTTATGCTCTCACTTTCACTCCTGCTATTGCTTCGTTACATACATTATGACTTGCAGCTCTCTGTGATTTCTGTAGTGTCAATAATCATGCATGTGGGTCATGGATATATCTCTTTCTGTCAGTTGAAAAAATGCATTCTCCTGCTTATTAACCTTAGGATGACTGATTTATGTTATAATTTTAGTTCTAGAACTTTTCTTTTTTACTAGAATGAAATTGGTACGTAATTGTGACTGCTTCATCTAAATCTTGTACCATGAATTAGGGTTAAATGCCAGCCCCCCCCCCCTCCCCCCCCCCCCCCCCCCCCCCCGGTTTGAGTTTATTGCTCTTAGATTAAACCACACCCCCTTTTATTAGTTGATAAAATAAAATGCCTAAATTACCCTTGGCTTATTTAACTCTCAAGCTTATGTCATTGCTGACATGTACGGGTAAAACGTGAAATGACAATATTACCCTTAATTGATTTGATTCCCTACGCCCAATCTCACCAAAACCAACACTATCTCTCTCTACCACCGCCACATCACAACCACCATCTTCACCACCACCGCCGCATCACAGCCACCATCATCACCACCACCGCTATGGCCATAGCCACCACCACTGCCACAACAAAGCCACCATACTCACCACCACCGTGACGGCCATAACCACCGCCACTCTTCTACGACTCCCGAATCTCCCAACCGGTGAAGAGCGCAGGCCAAGAACTTCAGCATCCATGAGCTCCGGCGAGCTTTCATCAGCGACCCAACAATTCTGGCAAGCTCCAACAACCTAACAGTTCTGACTATCAGCTCCAAGCAAACAACGAACCAAATGGCAGCGACCAAATTTCAAAGACCCAACTATGAAGAAGCTTTGAGCCAACGACGACCCAACTGCAGAAACAGTTTCGGCGAGCTTCATTACGACCAACAGCCCTGGCGAACGCAGAGAGTTTCAAAACACCGACCAAACCGAAAGGCTTCAGTCCGGTGAGCTGCACTCTAATCAACAGCTCCGGTGAGCCTCATTAAGACCCAACAGTTTGGTGAACTTAAGTCGTGAGTTTCAGACGGACTGAACCGACGAGCCCAAGTTCGGCGAAGCTCCAGTTCAGTCCAGCGATGCTACAAGCAGCGATGACCCACCTCGACGGTAACTGAACCGGTGAGCTCCATTTCTAGCTAGACACAGGACCAAGTAGTTTCGGTGATATCAAGAGACGAACAAGTTCCGGTGAAGCTATACGAGTCTGGCGCCAAGCTTCATTCCATATCATACTCCAGTCGGGCGAACCCAAGTCCAGCGGTGGGGACGGTTGTGTTGTCCTTGGTGGGAATCAGCGGCATTCCAACTGGGAATTGGCGGCGTTGGTGTTGCCAGAATTGAAGTAGGAGAAAGGTCTGCAGAGAGGTTTTTTTTTTTTGGAAGTTGCAGAGAGAGGTTAGAGAGAGAGAGTAAAGAGACCTTGGAAAAAAAAAAAAAAATTTAAGGTCAGCAGTCAATAAGCTGCCTGCTGACACATGGGCGAGTTCCTCTTTAAGCAATAACACGTGAGGTGCATAAACTATAAAGATCTAATACTTATCAAAAAAAAAAAAAAGGTGTATAAAGGTCTAACAAATAAAGGGAAAAATGTACTTGAAACAATGAAGGATAATTTAGGCATTATTTATTTATTTATTTATCAATTTAAAGAAGGGTGTGTCAGAGCAAATTAAACCAAACCTGATGGGGGTGTCAGAGCAATTTTTGCTCAGGTTTAATCTGAGAACAATAAACCCAAACTTGGGTTGGGGGGGGTTATTGAAATATTTCCTAGCTGCTATTTAGTGGTCCTGGATTCATTGCTCAAAATTGCATGGATGATGGTTGTTATATACCAGTACATTGAAATTGGTGTGTATATATTTATATTCAACATGAACTATTTGGTTGTCCCTTCATGAACTTCCTTTTCTTGAATTCCTGTTGAATATATAAACTATGTAAACATGGGGTTGGTAGAGTACGCAATCTGATTGAACTTTGAAGATTTTCTGTGCATGGAGGTTATCCGCCGATATGTTTAAAGAAGGCACTACTGGGAAGATTTTGGGGGGATAATATCGATATGCAGATGGTGGAGAGATATTAAGTTCTCATGGATTTCACATGTCCATAACTGTTTCATAGGATTACAAACTTCTTCCCTAGCCTGTATGGTGGAGAGAGATTGGTATTTTGTTACACATGAGCAGAAGACCTAGTCAGTAAAACTCCACAATTCACTAGACTGAAATTTTAGAAATGTTGACTTGGTGGCAACTTTTCTCCTTATTGTTTTCTGCAGGGGAGGCACATTAGGGCTGTATTTAGCTTTCTCTGTTTTAGTAATTGACCCCTAAAAAGTCAGAGACAGATGAGAGTGTCTTTCTTGCACATGTTATACGGTTTTGTATTATTTTCAAAGTTACTGGAACATATGATTTTAGATGACCTACTTGTTTTTGTGGTTTATTTTCTAATATAGAAGGCACTACTATACTGAAAATAGTAACCTATCTCTAGGGCTGCAAATGAGCTGAACGGCTCGGGCTCAGCTCGTGAGTTACTTGGCTCGAGCTCGGTTTTGGTTCACGAGCTCGAGCCGAGTCTGAACATCAGTAGGCTCGACTCGTTTGTTCATGAACCTTTCACCAACTGGGCTCGATAAGGCGTTTGCGAACATACTTGATTATTATATACACACACACACATCCAATTATAATATATAATTTTATGTTATGAAGGCTTAGTCCACAGCCCATTAAATTTTTTAGTCCTTTTTGTTTTAGACCCAATTTTATCATTTATTCATTTTAAAACAAAAACCAAGCCCATTTGTACAATCCAACCCAAGCCCATGTCTTGTGTCTAACCCTAATCATCTTTCCTTTTTCTAAAATTATCAGTAGCCCAAGCAGCAACGGCAACACACTCAACAATCTGCTTTCTGTCATCAAATCTTACTTCTCTCTCTTTCTCTTCTTATATTTTATCATCTCATCAAGCAGCAGCGGCGGCAACACACTTATGTATTAATCGTCTTTCATCCAAATTGATTTTTAGTATAAATTTTGGGGTTTACTATTGATCTGTGCATCTCTCAACTTCTTCTATCAAAATCAACTCTGGTAAGTTTAATTTTCGATCAAATTTATCACTTTCTTTCTCTTTTTCTTCTCTCTTTTTATTGCCGCAAACCTATTTCTCTCTCAAACTACTTCTTTTTTTTTTTTTTTTTTTTTTTAATCTTTTGTTCCAGATCTGTTAGATGCGAAGTACCACCAAAAAAAAAAAAAAAAATTAAACGAGCTATCGAGCTCGGCTCGAGGCTCGTCGAACATAGCCGAGCCGAGCTTGAACTAAATTTTCTTGGCTCGACTCGAGCTCAAGCCGAGCTTGAGCATTCTATTACCTGACCGAGCTGAGCTCGAGCACACCATTACTCGGCTCATTTATAGCCCTAACTACCTCTTAATTGGTGAATGCTTCAATTTCAAATATTGCTTTTACTGTTAGATATGTAAAATATTTAAACCTCTAAGTTCTAACAGCCTTCCATTTTTTCTTTGGTGAGCCTCTCTCTCTCTCTCTCTCTCTCTCTTGTATGATTGATTTTGTGTTGCTGTTAAACTTTTGAAGCTTGTTTTTCTTGTAGGTGGAAATCAAAAGAGATGAGCAGAATGAGGAAGTGCGCATATTTTCAGATGCTGGCAGGATTCTGCGTCCTCTGTTGGTTGTTGGGAATCTAAAAAAGATCAAACTTTTGAAAGGGGGGGAGTACAACTTTCAGTCTCTCTTGGATAGTGGAATAATTGAGCTGATTGGAACTGAAGAGGAAGAAGATTGTCGCACAGCATGGGGAATTAAGTACCTGTTTGTGGAAAGTGAGCCACCGGTAAAGTATACTCATTGTGAACTTGATATGTCGTTCTTATTAGGTTTAAGTTGTGGACTTATTCCATTTGCGAATCATGACCATGCGAGGAGAGTCCTCTATCAGTCTGAAAAGCATTCTCAGCAGGCTATGGGTTTTTCCACTACAAATCCAAATATCAGAGTGGATACCCTGAGTCATCAGTTATATTACCCCCAGAGGCCACTTTTCCGGACGGTGCTTTCTGATTGTCTTGGAAAGCCAAGGCATCCACTAGGTCATAGTAGCAATCTTCCACGGCCTGAATTCTTCAATGGTCAGTGTGTTATTTTGGCGGTCAACGTTCACCTTGGGTACAATCAAGAGGATTCCCTGGTAATGAACCGGGCTTCATTAGAGCGTGGTATGTTCCGGTCCGAACACATAAGAAGTTACAAAGCTGAGGTTGACAACAAGGAAGCGTTGGGAAAGAAGCCGAAATTTGAGGATGCTGTCAATTTTGGAAAGATACAAAGTAAAATTGGGAGAGTGGATAGCCTCGATGATGACGGTTTTCCCTTCGTTGGTGCAAACCTCCAGAATGGTGATATTGTTATTGGGAGGTGTGCAGAATCAGGGGCTGATCATAGTATAAAATTGAAGCACACAGAAAGGGGTATGGTTCAGAAGGTTGTATTGTCTGCAAATGATGATGGTAAAAACTTTGCTGTGGTATCTCTGAGACAGGTAATTTTCACTTCTTACATTCTCAAAATATATGCTTGTCAAAATAGTGTGTCAGACAATGAACTTATACATTTGGTAGCACAACGCTAGTATATTATATTCGATGTGGAGAAAACACGAATTTCCTTGTCTGGTTGCCTGCCTTTCTCAAATTAATTTTTAATAAATCAAGTTCATGTCAATTCATAATGTTCCTCGACTATATGGCGCAGGTTCGTTCACCGTGTCTTGGGGACAAGTTTTCAAGCATGCATGGACAAAAGGGTGTCCTTGGTTTTCTGGAGTCTCAAGAGAACTTCCCTTTCACAATACAGGGGATAGTTCCAGATATTGTGATAAACCCACATGCATTTCCTTCCCGACAAACTCCTGGTCAGCTGCTAGAGGCAGCTCTTGGAAAAGGTATTGCATGTGGGGGATCACAAAAATATGCCACCCCTTTCTCAGCCACATCTGTTGATGCCATAACAGAGCAGCTGCATAGGTAAACTCTATATTTGAAGCGTCCTACATGGCAGTCATAATGCATATTTAATTTGTATTTGGCTTCTTCTTGTTGCTCCATATTGAAAATTGATACATGTACTCGTATGCATAGTAGAGCTGGATTTTCAAGATGGGGTAATGAAAGAGTTTACAATGGCCGAACTGGCGAAATGATTCGTTCCCTTGTGTTTATGGGCCCAACATTTTACCAGCGCCTGGCACATATGGCTGAAGACAAGGTGAAATTCCGAAACACTGGGCCAGTCCATCCCCTTACCCGACAGCCAGTGGCAGACCGGAAACGGTTTGGGGGGATCAAATTCGGTGAGATGGAACGCGACTGCCTAATAGCCCATGGTGCAGCAGCGAATCTACATGAACGCCTGTTCACACTCAGTGACTCTTCGCAAATGCACATCTGTCGGAATTGCCAAAACATTGCTAGTGTTATCCAGCGGCCAGTGCCGGGTGGCCGTAAGATTAGGGGTCCCTACTGTCGGTTCTGTGAAACTGTGGAAGATATTGTTAGGGTGAATGTGCCTTATGGGGCCAAGTTACTTTGTCAGGAACTTTTCAGCATGGGCATATCTCTAAAGTTTGACACTGAGCAATGCTGAGCCTGACAATTGACAAACACTCATTCTTGTTCAACTTTCTGATGGAAATAGGTCTGTCTATATGTGAAGTAAACATGATTTATGTTGGGTCTTGTTCAACATTTTGGTGGAAATCTGTTTATATGCGTAGTAAAAATAGTTTATTTTCGGGTTCAGGAGGCAAATGCTTTCAAATTATATATTATTGATTGTTGCAGGAATGACAAAGAATTGGTAATTACTAATTAGGAAGGATTATTTTTTGCGAAGTAAATATGAACATGCTTCTATTAAATAGGTTACATGTGGAAACGAAAGGAATAAGAAAAAGAAATTTACCAAAATTAATAATATACCGAGAGAAAAATGAATGAGAAAAGGAAAATCAAGTTTTTGATTATTAAAATGTTATGTTTTTGCCCTCCTAAAGATACATTCATGTTAGAAGTCTTGGATTAATATGTAAATTCATTAGAACACATCAATTTATTATTATTTTTTTATTTGGCATGAAATCAACACTCATTTGTTGTTAGGAAGAATCGAACCCTCAATTAATTGTAAGAAGGATCTTTTGTGAAACAATTCATGGAAATGTTGTAAAAATTCAATAGTCATGATCGCCTATTTACTCCAATTGGGATTTATTCAGGAAAAAAATTATCTTGAAACGTGTCATCCACACTCAAATATAACTGCATTTTGCATAGACAGTAAGAGAAAACGAAGATGGTCAAAACAAACTTGGAATGAAGTTATTGAAACGGATTCTAAAACATTAATTAAATCTTAAAAAAGACAATGATTAATAATAGAACAAAATGGAGAAGGAGAATCCATGTGACCCATCCCATCCATTTGAAAAAAAAGTTAAAGGATGAGAAAAAGTAGGAATTATTGCAATATTGGATATACATCAACATTATATATATATATATATATATATATATATATATATATATATATATTTATAACTTAAAAAAAAAAAAAACATACTACATATATAGTAAAATTCAAAATCTTCATTCTGTACTGATTGTTGAAAGAGGCTAACTGCAAGCAGGAGGTTGCAATTGGCCACGGGAGATAACATTGACATGAGCACATGAAGAAATAGCTGGACCTTCATGACCAAGATATTTTAAGTTGATATTCTCAAGCACAATGTTCTTGCATGGCTTGCTTTCACTACACACCAGTTTTACTGCTTCTCTCGATGCAGAAGTGCCTCGAATATTACTGAATGTAACATTTGCTATCTGTATCAGCGATGAATCCTGTGAAGAAACCAAAAAAATTGTCATTACTAATTAATGGTTCAGTGTGTGTCTGTGTCAAATATGTACCTGACCACATGGAGGGAATGGACAATACTGTTGATCGATGAGGATGGGGTTGTAAACATTGTTAACAACAATGCTATCAAATAGCATGTTTGAAACAATGCCACCAGCATCATTAGGTGTTGCAGCCCATGTTTTGATCCTCACGCCGTTAAGGGTACGCGTAAAAGTGCAGTTTGTGACTACTAATCTTGTCACATGTTGCTCTTCATCAGATCTCCCTAAGCTTCCGACGCTGATTCCATGTCCCGGACCACAAAAACTCTTGGAAATGTGGATTCTGTGGTTTCCGGGACCTAAGGATATGCAATCGTCTCCGGTGGCTATGTCCATTACTGAAACCCTAATGTTGGTCGAGGCACTGATATGCATTCCATCAGTGTTGGGACTGTCTCCGGGAGCTGATATTGTAATGTGACTTAGGTTCATGTTGTGACACCCGAAAATGTTGAGATGCACATTCTTGCTGTTGAGTGAGTTTATGTGGTTGATCTCTGAATTGTTGATGAAGAGCAGTATCAATGACTGATCTCATTTGTACACCACAATTGAAAAGAAAGAAAAATTGTGTTAATGAAGTATAGGAGCTAGTACTCAATCCTATTTATTCATTTTTCAAGTGTGATACAATTTAGCTTCAATATCATAAAATAGACAAAGATCTAATTGGAATTATTATTGATTTTAACATTTTGAGAGAGGAGAGATACTCTATTTTTATCGATTACTTATTAAGATGATTAGAGCCTGATTAGAGCCATACAAAAAAATCGAACGTCAATAGTAGCATGGTACATTAAAAAATATATATATATAATTTAGAAAAGTGAAAGTTGTACTCAAAAGGGCTAAAAATAGAATAAAGTTTTAAGAGAATGACAAATGGCAATTCTCTCAAAATGATCTCCTTTTTGTTAGAAGTACTGTTTCCATTTCCTTTTAATGGAATGTACTCTATACTTAAAGTAAAAGTGACACAAGTATCATTAACTTATAAATAAACCAAGTATTAGGGGTATTTTTGTCATTTAATAATTTTTTATATAAAAAAAAGGAAAAGAAAATGAGTACATTTGGTTAAAAGGAGACTGTATTTATCATCTCTTTCTGAAAAAAAAAAAAAAAAATAGAATAACACACTATACAGTATATAATATTCTATTTGTCCCAAAATAACTGTAGTATTTAGCCGAAAAAATAAAAAAACGAAAAGGAAAACACACTAGATAATCCACTTTAGAAAATACGGATCACAATATTTTATATCTATAGAAAAGAAAATTAATTCAAAAAATTGAAAATAAGGATCACAATATTTTATATCATGATAAAGGAAATGAAAATAGTACTTACAGCAGGGAGGCCCGGGCACTGTCCTTTGTTGCAAGTGTTATATGGCCAACCAGATGCACCTTTGCCATCCAAAGTCCCACCTCCTGTGACTGTCAAATTCTCCATATATTGGAAGGTAATCCAATGGTTAGTGTTTAGGAACTGCGATGGTTCTGTTGGAGCCTTTAAGACCCCTTTTATCAGAAACTCCATTGGACCATTGCATGGACCATTAAGATTCAATGAACTCAAGAAGTATGACCCTAATGGGATCAAAACACTGCTCCGCCCTTGCCATTGACACGACTCGTTCCAAGCTTTCGAAAATGCCTGCAAAAAAAAAAAATTGAAATAAGTGGTTAGTGATGTTACAGATGCATGTAAGAATATATATATATGTGTGTGTGTGTGTGTGTGTGTGTGTGTAATATTTCATATACGCATACCTTGGAGTTATCAGTCTTTCCATCTGCAACTGCACCATAGTGGGTCACATCAAAAACATTGGATTGTAGAGCATTGGTGATGGACACTACTAAAAACAATACTGCTATGAAAACTATATTGAAAACTGAACTAAAACCCATCTCTCTTGTTATTGCTGCACAATTTCATCTGTTTTCCCCATATATATATATGCGTGTGTGTGTGAATTTGGGATAGAAATGAATGGGAATAAATCATTTATTGGTTGATATTTTTGTTGATTCTTGGAATCTGATTTTTTGATACCTAACCAAAAAATAAATAAATAAATTGTGGTTTTTGATATGCGTTGATTTGTTTCCCCAACAATATGAGTAATTTATTAGTGTTGGGGTGGGGAAAAAAAAAAAAAAATCTTGGATACTAGTAAGATGGAAAAAATGGATAGATTAGTGATCATTGTGTTGGGGAAGTTTAAAAGAGTTTCCATAACTACTGATGGGAAAATATCACTTTCTTTCAAATCAAGTGCAAGAAAGAAAAAAAAAAATGGGCTTTCATTTACTTCCCAAAAAAAAGAAGGAAAGAGTGTAAGACATAATGTGATAAATTTAGAAAAATATTTGAATGCTGCATTTTACTGATTACCAAAACTAAAAAGAAAGAGAAAATAGTGCAAGATTGAAATGTGATAAATGTACGGATACGTTTTTCCTAAGCAATGTACGGACATATTTGATTGCTTCTAATAATATATATATATATATATTATTTTGGTCCAATTTTTTTTATTTTTATTATTTTATATATTTTCAAAATATATATGCAAGCTAATAATGGTCGGGCCCAATCCCGAGTTAAGGGCCAGCCTTTGGAAGCGATTTATATTTTAGAGTTTGGGTTGGATTCAAAATTTCCAACCCGGTCCTATTTCAGGTTGGGCTTGGATGGGAAGATTAGTAACCCGCCCAATTTATATATTTTTATTATAGGTTAATTTCACTAACATTCCCTTAGGTTTGGCCATATTTCACCCTCAAATATCTTTCAAAAATAATTATCACACACATTATAAACTTTTGTTCGGTTTTTCGCTAACACCCGCAACGATTAGTTGAACAGTACTGACACGATGTGAAATAACTTAAACACCATTTGAATTTGTCAAAGTAACCCTTTAGCCTAAAGAATTAGATTAAAAGACTAAAATACACCTAAAAATTTATAAATTTACAAATTATATATATATACACACACACACAGACACACACATATACACACACACACACACACACACACACAAACATATATATAGATATACACACACACACATACATCCTTCAATCGCCATCGCCACTACCCACACAATCCTAATCCCAACCCATCACCAATCGCCGCCGCCACCACCCACACAATCGTAATCCCAACCCATCGCCATTCATCGCCGCCACCACAGCCACCACTATCCTAACTGTAATACCCCTAATTTTTCAAAGGATATAAATGTGATTTAATCATTTATTTTATTGCATTTTAATTAATTATGTGGCTATTTGCTTATGTGGCTATGTGTTTATGTGTTATGTACTTAAATGATTTAATTGTCTGATGTGTATGGTATGTTTTATTTGTGTGTATTTGTGTGATATGATTATGTAATAAATTGTGTATTTGTTTAAATGTTATGTGTTTATTTATATTTAAATTGTTTGTTGATTTTATTTTATTTTAAAAGAAGTTGGATATGAATAGTAGCAGTGGACCAACCATTTGGGTCCCATGGACTACTTGGATATGAGTCTTAATGGGTATGGATATTTATCGATAGATAGTTGTGTGTGTGTGTGTGTGTGTGTGTGTATATTTATGGGGATATATGTATATATGGATAGTAATAATAATATTATTATTATGGATAGTTATAATTATATATATATATATAACAAACTTGGTATATTTATATTTATATTTTCTATTTTCCTTTTTCTTTTCTTAATTATTAAGGTAAAGTTAGATTGGGAATAAGATTTTATATTTTATAAGTTGGATTGTGAATAAGATTTTATAGTTATCTATATATATGTGTATTGGGGGTTTGTGAAAGGGTTATAAAACTATATTCCTATTCAGATCTAGAAAGAGAAAACTAGAGAGAGAAAGATGAAGAGAAAGAAGGAAGAAGAAGAAGGATCATTAGAGAAGAATAACAAGAAATGAGGAGTTTAACTTTCAATCCGAAAGTTTCAGGCAAGTTTTATGTTCTACTTGTCTCATTTGATCTAGTGTTCAGTACATGTTTAGGATGACTTTAGGATGATTAAACAAGATTAATAAATAGGTTAGCATGTTTAATTAAATCGGATTAAAATAAAGAGTATATATGTTTAAATATATGTATGCATGCTATGTATGATTTTGTAATTTGATGCATGAATTGTTGTTATAACTTGATATCTACATGCTTAATTATTGTAATTGAATTATTAAACTACTTTGTATAATTATTAGAAAATAATCTTTAGATGATCTAAGACACAATTCTGTCTGTCTGGACAGAATTCTGAACAACAGTTCGATAATTCCGTTTTTGACCAAATAATAGTGTTTTTTTGGGTGGAAACAATTGATTTAGAAAAACCCACTAGCTTAGCTTGTGGGCCATGTTAGTTTTTGGTCGAAAACCATCATTTAAGGTTTCGAAATTGCGTTTTCGTAATTATTAGGAGGCATCACAGTATTTTTGTGATTTTTGTTGGAGGTTGAAATGAAGTCCGATTGTCCTCATATTTTAAATTTGGTTATTTTTGTTGATTATGTTTCTTATTATATTTTTTCAAAATTTTTAGAAATATTTTATTTTTAGGCTTATTTTCAGAATTTCGTTCATCGTACTAAAATTCGATAAATATTAAATGATGAGTTAAATATAGGATGTATGTTTGATAAATAATATTAATTATATTGAAAACATACTAAGTATGGTATTAAAATATAATAATCATAGTTAGAGTATATGGTGTAGGATGATAAACGCTATAAAGTATAATTATTCGTTCTCGTTGATATATGATCTTTATTGTATCATTGTTATTATTGGATATTTTGATAGATAATATTAATCATATTATAAATGATGATAATCATAATGTGATTTATGGATATATATTGGATGAAAAGTTGATTAATTCATAGTATGCATAATATATAATAATATGCAATGATATGGAGGATTACACAATTTAATTGAGATGTAGATTAATTATGTGGTACCCCTCGGATCCGAGACACGAGTTGATCAAGCCAGGCCCAAACCCGAGGGATATCAAATAATTAATATGTAATTGAACACAGAATACAAGATGAAATAAATAATAATAATAATAATAAGCTGAAAAAATGCTAATTGAAAATCCTTTAAGTAATATAATTATTGAAATCTGTTAAATCCAAACTCCATAGGTTTACAACTTGGGAATCCATCAATTGGACCCCTTATTAAAGATTCTTAAACCGAAACTGAAATAATAAAAATAAAGTCTAAAGCTAACATAAAGAAGATTCCTACATAGTCGGAGGAATGAATATCTGTATCTGCTCTGCACGTCCAAGCTCTAACCCTGGAACTGACGATCACCTGAAAAATAAAGAAGTGGGTTAGCCTCACATGCAAGTCTTGATCTACTACAATCCAAACAGTAATCCGATACGCAAATACATCCTAGGAAGACTCAACAATATCTAGAGTAGTCCATATAAGTATATAGTACACACTATAGGACGCTCGCTAGTCCAATAGGTCTGTCTCAGCCTGAATAGAAGGCAACATGCGAATACGCACCCTAAGGTGGGCATGAGTACCTAGACCTACTAGGGAACAACACCTATGTCCAGTTATCCATTATAGGCGATATACACGCCCTAACCATGGTCATGAGACTTGAGCTCATACCACGGTACCATATAATATATATATAAAGTCCGTACTCCTCCTAATACAGTATACCATCCATCTGTGTAGTGGTCTGATATATGTATAACAAATCCATCCTGAAACCATAGTAGGTCATTCAATTCACAACTGATATGACACATGTAGGTGATAGACTTAACCTTTATGACTAATCCATACCTTAATCCAAATTTAGGTAGGCCTAGTGTCTGAACTAGTCCATACCTAGTATGTTACCGTCCCATACCGGTACATACCATCCTCTGGTTAACAGAGTTGATAAAACAGTACTAGATAGTCATCAACCCAACTCCCAAAATATGCACAAACCAAATTAATCTATAAATATAAAACTTAGGCATTCAGTCTAGGCCTAGAAATTATTTTCCAACCATTAAATTTACTAATTATGAAACATAGCATTTACGTCATGCATCAAATCCACTAATTGATAAAATTAACTGAACTGTTATATCAATTTACTTCCAACCACACATAGATAATTCCAAGAATTTACTATGCTTATAAAACTGTCTAAATATAATTAAAACAATATTAAACAAAAATCCCAATTCCAGTCCGTTAAATGACAAAACAAAAGTATGCAATTTATTTCTTCAAACAGTGCCATAACTGATGCAATTTATATCCAGTTTAAATCATCAGTTAATTCCATCCATATTTACATCTAGTTATACGACTATATGCTTAAACCATAATAAAAATATAACTAGCAGTTTAAGATTATACAGAGAAATCAAAATTTCAAAAATAACAGACAAAAGAAAATTAATTCTTCAATCATCCTCCTACGGTTCTCTGTTTAAACTAAAGTTAATTCCGTCCTTAATACCTACTTGTAACCATGCTTCCCAACATTTTTATAAATCTTTGGCAATGATTTACACCCTCCAGTAGCATTTAAATAACTTTAGAAAACCAATTTTCAGCCCAAACAGACCTTAAAATCAAAATTCTGGCCAATTAAAGAGAGAGCGGGCTCTAGAAAAAAAATTGAGCCTGCTCTTCCTATCTAGAGCCGGCTCTAGACTTTCTAGAGCCTGCTCTAGTGCACCAAGAGCCGGCTCCTCCTCTTTGGGAGCCGGCTCTAAGGGTTTTGGAAGCCAGTTCTTCCTCCCTTAGCAGCCTTCTGTCCGTTTAAACTTCGTCTTCTCCGATTCCTGTAAGTACCAGTTCTCTGTAGGACTTTTA